CAGTCTCAGAGATCTCAGAGGTAGACTCGACTGTTATTGAAGATCTTTACTAAATCTAAACATATAAACCATTCCATGTAAATCTATTAGAATATCAAATCAAAAATTGTTTTAACTCAAAGTCCTAAATTAGCCGGCCATTAAGGCGGCAAGAAACTGGAAGATATAAACAAAAAGAAAGAACAAGGGACTTACAAAAAAGCTTATACCACTGTCGGCAAGCTTGTTCGTCTTATTTCTTTATTCACCACACTTGATTACAATACTGGAAAGAAAAACTTGAAATGTAAACACTGCTCTAGGAAACTCTGATTTCAGAAGAGAGACATGCCTCTCTATAAATACAGAAAAGAAAATCCTATTCAGGACAGCTGGCTAGACAGCTAAAAAGAAATCTGCTTTATATTAAAGCAAAAGATTCTTTTMAAAAAGAAAGCAACTTTATAAAAGTTGGTCGGCTACTAGAACCGAAAGTAATATATTTTGACAAAAATGTCAAAAAGGCTACTTACTTTGCTTTATAGAGTCCTTGAGTGCCTCCAAAGCATCTTCAATAGAGATAGCTATCTCTTCRGAGCCTTCTATGCTTTGAGCATCTTGCTGTATGTCGGAGTTCATTGAACTGTCTGAAGGTTGAGAAAGGTTTTGATGGAGATCTTTCTTCATGTTCTCTATGTAGAGATCAACAATCTCGTCTTTGGACAAGGTACCAGCATATTTCTGAGAAAGTTGCTGGAAAGGACTCGGAATGTCCGGGCTTGTGTTCTTCTGTTGACGAACTTYGAAGTMTTTCTTATAAATCTGAATTTTCTTCGAAATGGAATCATAAAGATCAGCTCCTTCAAGAGTAGAGGATTTCGGACACATGCGATCTAATTTCTCCCAATATTTTGAAAGGCCTTGACGCTTGAGACAGGGAATCATATTATGATCATAGCCAAATATTGGCTTCCACTTCCAAATCMAAGGAATGCCAAATTCGATGAAAAAGAGGCAAACATTACTGCTATCAATTTGATAGAGTTGTTTACAGTCATTGACTGTTGGAGAATATAACATCCAATCTTTTATAAAAGATTTCATATGATCAGGAAAAATAGAAGAACTAGTTCCAAAATTTTTCCACCAAGAGAAAAACCAATTAGGAATTGGAGAGTGAAAGCAATTTTCACAAATCTTTAAGAACCAAGAATGTCTTTTGTTCTCATTATCATAAAGTAGAACTTTAGATAAACCATGGATATAATCCCAATAATTGAATTTGAAATTGCATTTATGACTGGGAGAAAACCATTCTYTTTCAGCAAGAGGGGAAAAACCCCATTCTTCAAAAGATATAATCTTTTTAATGACAAGTTTTGAAAAACTAAAATTGCCATTTATCTCATCTCTGCTATTAGAAGAATGATGAGTAATTTCTACAGATTTTGTAGAAAGAAGTAAACCTTCATAGAATTGACGCTGACGTAAAGAGCCATGAATAAAAGATGTCTTATTAAGATATCTTTGAAGAATGAAATCTGGATCATTGTTCCAACGAAGATCTTTATCTTCTAGAAGAAGTATAACTTCTTTTTCATCGGTTTCATGAAACTGAGAGTTGGAAGAATCTTCCTTGCTAATATTAGCATAAGAATTTGAAGCTGCCAAAGATTCTTTAGCCTTCTTTTCCTTAATATAATTAAGGTATGCCTCTGCAAGAGGATGGTCTTCTGGTATATCATCCAAGAAGCCTGGAGTCTCTTTTTCCTTACCATGTGATAAGTCGGAAGCTATAAGCTTTTGTTTACCCATCTGGGCTATTACATTATTTCCTCTTCCCCTATTAGAGGAATGTCGACC